CCAGCTCCGCGCCTTCCCGTGAGGCTCCACAAAACCCCTACCTTCCGCCATGTCGGGCCCGGCCCTGCCTGCAGTCTCGCGAGAAGTGCGTGAGGAACGGAGGCAAGAAGTCTCGCGAGAACTGGCGGGGGCGCGGCAAAGGGAGGAGTTGAGCGTAGGTAAGAGGCGTAAGTGAGAAGTAGAGCGGGTAGCTAGCTGAGCACCGCGGGAGAGCCTTATCTCTTCACTGGGTACTTTCAAGCTAGGAGCTTACCAGGCGCTGTCTGGGCTCTGTCGTATTCCACGCCCTTAACAGGACACTCGCTGGAGATGCTTGCCTGTGAGAAGTTGGGGAAAGGGATTGTGAAAGGGACTTTGTTGGTCTTTACGTAGGCATGTGAAAGACTGGGAGGAAGGAGCTTAAGAGGGAATTTAACATAATGACGGTTCTAGGGTCCCATGGTGGGTGGGATGCTCAGCATTAGAAACAGAACTCCGGGAGAAGGGATTAAATTTAAACTAGAAGAAAGTAGGTCGCCTATTATTCTACTAAGACATCAGGAAACAACATGCTTTAGGGGGGAAGATGCAAGCAGATAGATGTGTAGGGGGAAGAGATTTCAAGAAAATGATTTGAAGACATCAGTTTCATGCCTGAAGTTTTTAGTCATGGAGACCTGAGAAGGGTGAAGAAAATTTGGAAGAGGACGCTGAGACATTGGAAGGCCAGGTTCAAGCTCATGTATGTGTAGATGGGTCACTATTTTTCTTGAACTCAGCTACCGGCTGCGGAAGCAAAGAATTCATATTTGGGGAAGGGGAGGGTACCAGGAGTTGAACTCAGGGGCACTCGATCACTGAACCACATCCCTAGCCCTATTTTGTATTTTTTTTAATATTTATTTTTTAGTTGTAGTTGGACATAATATCTTTATTTATTTTTATGGGGTGCTGAGGATCAAACCCAGGGCCTCGCATGTGCTAGGAGAGCGCTCTACCGCTGAGCCAGAACCCCAGCTCCCCTATTTTGTATTTATTACTAGAGACTGGCTCTCACTGAGTTGCTTAGCGCCTCGCTAAATTGCTGAGGCTGGGTTTGAACTCGAGATCCTCCTGCCTCTGCTTTCCAAGCTGCTGGGATTCTGGCGGAGAAGCAAAGAATTCAAATGATAATATTTGCCAGGGCTTGGGATTTTATTGTCAAAAAATAAATTGAGCGGCAGGGGTTGTGTGGCTCAGTGGTAGAGCGCTTGCCTAGCATGTGTGAAGCACTTGGTTTAATTCTCAGCACTGCATATAAGCAAATAAATAAAAGTCCATCAAAAACTAATAAAAATTTTTAAGAATAAATAAATAGTCCTATGAGACTACAGCCCAGGTCATCAAATATATGGCATGTAGACTGGCTAGGAGCTGATAGATGGGATATGAAAACTGCAGGACTCTATATATAATTTAAAGCCAATAACTGAAAAAAAAAAAGTTGTTAGAGCCCCATGATCAAAGTGGCAAAGTAGTTCATCAGATGAATAGCACTAGGAAACTGAAAAAAAAAAAAAAAAAAACAGTGCAAGGTCATGGAGAGCACATAAGACCCTTCAAAAATTTTTCTTAACTTGTGTGTGTTTGCCTAGCTTGCCCTGGGTTTGATTCTCCAACACTGAAAAAAAATTGTTTTTAACTCAAGAATTATGTAGGGGAAGTAGTAGTCTTGGAGGACAGCTGAATAGGAGATGTTGAAAGACAGGGGAACAGGATGAGGCTGTCAGAACCACAGAAAGGATTCAAAATTGGGCAAGTTTTAGGTGCTGCCAAGGTTAAAGATTTAGTAGGAAGTGAAATGGAGTAGAGAAAGGTCATGGAAACATAGGGTCAAGGGTTGAAATTTTGAGGAAGAGGAGTGGATTCTGACTGATAGACACATGGAGTATGCAAGGGAAAGGGGAGTTGAATGCCTAGAAATTAATGTTCTAAGGGCTGGGGTTGTGGGCTCAGTGGTAGAGCACTTGCCTCGCATGTGTGAGGCCTGGGTTTGATCCTCAGCACCACATAAAAATAAAACAAAGAAATTCATGTTCCAGTTGTGGCAGGAAACTAAGAAAGCCTGGGCAGGAGCAGCACTTAGACAAGGTAGTCAGGGGAATACCTTGCCAGACTTAATGGAGATCTGATAGCCCAAAGATTTCGGTTGAGATTGGTTAATAGGTGTACCAAATGATGAGCTTTGGGGGATTTCAGGGTTAACCAGGCAAGCCAGCCTCCTGTGGCTAGAAGCATCCTCATCTGTCCTGAGGATCCTAAAATATTTCAGGATAACATTAAAAAAAAAAAAAAAAGACGTGTTGTATCATAAGACTTATCTTAGCAGTTACCTCACTGGTACCAGCTTAGGGTCCAATACATAGCAGATGCTCAAATGTTTGTTGAGGTGATTTGCAGAGTCATGATCCCCCCTTTGATAATTTGGTGAAAACCAGGACTTCTTTCCCTTAACACAGCACACATGTAGAATAAAAAACAATGTACCCTTTCAGAGTGTTCCTGGAATAGATACCTAAAACCAAACTAGAACTCATTAGTGGGATTTAAGCAAGCAATCCAGGGATTTTACTACCTCTTCCTCACAAACTACCTTCAAGGAGCCCTCTGGAGCCCTCTATCAGAGAAGGTTGTGACTCAATGGCAGAGCACTTACTTAGCACATGTGAGGCACTGGGTTCAATCCTCAGCACCACATAAAAATAAAGGTACTATGTCCGTGTACAATTAAAAAATATTTTTTAAAAAAGAAAAGAAATGGCTTAGTGTAAACCTATTTGAGCTAGAGAATTTAATAAAGTATTATAGTACTTGGTGAACTACAAACACCCAACTTGAGTAGCCCTAAGCTACAATAATAAAAGCTGAAATATAGAAAAAATTTTGAAAAATCTGCGCATTGGAACATGGTTTATTTTAGACCCAGTTCAAGTTTTGCTATCAGATTAAAAGGAACTTTGTGTGGGTTTGTCTTAGGCAAGGAACATGGGGGAGGCAGTGTGACATGGCAGAAGGGGAAGAGGAGGAAATCTCTAGATCCATGTCCAATGAACTAGGTCCAAGTACCAGTCTCAATACACATACTCTGTGTGACCTTAGAAGTCAATGTTTTGGGGTTTTTAAAAATATTTTTAGTTGTAGATGGACATAACTATATTTTCTGTGGTGCTGAGTTCTGGAACCCAGTGCCTCACGTGTACTAGGCAAGTGCTCTACCACTGAGCCACAACCCCCAGCCCCAGAAGTCAGTGTTCTTAAGCTCTAGTTTTCTCACCTGTAAATGAGAATTAACAGCACCCAGTATATAAAGAATGTCATGGAACTGAATCCCTGCTATCTAACTTATTTGCTCTTTAATATTGGCAAATTAATCTGAACCTCTTTCCTCATGGGAAACCATTACTTTGGAGGATCCTTTTAAGACTTTGACTAGGTCCTTTATGAGGCACACAGCACAAGCCTGCCACAAAGTACAGCCTCATAGAAGCTTAATTTCTACCGCTCTTATCCAGAATAAATTTTGTCATTGTGAACATTCTAATACTATTACTCTTTATTTTTTGTTGTTGTTGGTGGCATTGGGAATTGAATCCAGGGACTCATATGTGCTAGTCAAGGACTCTACCACTGAGCTAGCTTCACTTCTAGCCCTACATTTCTCTCTAATGGTTACTGCTAACGATGGTAGGGAAGACCATATTTCTTGCCTAGAAACTTTTGTGCAGCTCTTATGTCTTCAATATATCTGGTTGCCTTTTGTATAGTTTATTTCACCTATGTGAACAGGATCCAAAATTCTATAATAATTTAACTGAAGCTCAGGGTAGAGTGCCAACTCAACAAGTCAAAACACATAATCCTACCTTGGCAGCCAGACTGCACACACCTGGAATGGAGCAACCAGAAATACCACAGCCAGGAAATGATTTACTCTGCAAACTAAATCCTGTTGAAGTTTGCAGACCTCCAAAAAAGGAGAAGTTTAAAATTTGGTAGAGTTGGTTACTGCCATATCTTTATGAGGGGGAGGGAGAAAATCAAATGGTGCTTCCTGGAAGCCTAGTGCCTTGTACACAAAATGCAGTGTCAACAACCTGTCTGCTTGCATTGGAAGCAGCATGCAGATGTTTTGATACTATATACCTCAAGAAGATGCCTATGTATAAAATTGGTATTGAACATTCAGGGACATCATCTAGGCCCTTCCACAGTAGTTTTATTCCAAATATATTTATCAGGGAAATTAAACTAAGAAAATGAGCCCCAGTCTCACCTAAGCTATTCTCAGGGAGGGTTTTCTTCTTGTTTCTAATTCAGCTCTAAAAGAGGTGGATCCATGTTCTTTTCTAAGTTTGTACAAAGGCCTTAATAGCCTTTGTACAAACTTAGAAATTTATATAAATTTATATTAGCAATTTATATAAAGACCCACAACACACACAGCAGGTCAGTTATCAACACCTAACACTGTGAAAGGACTCAGGACAAAAAGCTAGATACTATTTTATCTTTAGAATGAATAAAGTACTCAGTTTTGCGAAAGGACTCAGGACAAAAAGCTAGATACTATTTTATCTTTAGAATGAATAAAGTACTCAGTTTTGCTTCTATTGCCACTACTTATTAAATGACTCTGGGTAGATATTTGGACCAGTTTCCCCATCTGCTTAGCTGAGGGAAGGTAGTGATTGAAAATGATGCCTGTGTTCTCTTCCAGTTAACATTTGAGTCTGGGTTCCTCACCGTTTAAGTTATCTTTAAGGTGGAACTAATTTAGGCCAAAGACAACATTCCCAATAATGTTCTCACTTTAAGTATCCAAATTACTATGCACTGAAACTCTGATGAAAAGTGGTGCTTGGCTGTGTATTCTTCATCCAAGTTTCCCCTGTGCACCCTTTGGTATCACATGCTGTTTATGCAGAAAGAATTCCACAACTTGCTTTTTGAGACCTGCATCCTAAAACCAAAATAGCTCATGATACAGCCTCTAAGTCATCATTTATTGATTTATAGAGCACCCATCACATGATTGAGGTGCTTTACAATACAGTAAACATCACAACAGAACTCACATAGTTAAATACAATCAACAAATTACAGAACTAAAAAAAAAAACTGGAATGAAGCAATATTATGTCAAATTTCAAAGATGCTGAGAAGTGGCAGTACAAAAAAAGGTAATTCCACCAACTAGAGACCAGACAGGCAAAGATACACAGGCATCACAACCCGAGGTGGGCAGAATTGTAAAGGGTGAGCGAGCATATAAAATAAAATTTCACAACTGGGAATGAAGGCCATTAAAGATACTATGACATCCAAGTGATCACAGAACCAGTGGAATGACCTCACAAATATATTTACCTTACAATGACAAGAAAATCAACCGCATATGGATTTTAAACTCAGAGTCCAGAAAGCCACTGAAATCATCCTTTCTGTTATGAACACAGGCTAAAATCTACAAGTTTCTCAAAAAACTTGGAATAAATTTAGTAGAGCCAACAGTTCTACACCCAAAGGACTATGCAGATATTAATGGTTGGCACAAAGTTGGGGGTTGGGGGGGTCCTTTTCCTAAAGCAGAGAAGAATCACCTCACACTAATGATGAGGCACTGGTGGGACAAAAGCCACCTAGTTCAGTGTCACCTGAGTGATTTAAATATCAAACGTAGAGGCATTTAAATTCATGGTCAGATGAACACTGGGAAAGGCACGGATGACATCTCTGAAAGAGGAAAAGGAATCCTCCATCTATCAAGGCCTGTGTTTCAGTTTGTAGTATGGTGAGGGGACATAGTTGGAAGAGTATGAGGAAGAGAGGCACTCGCTCCTGCCTCTCCTATTCCCCTACGCCCTAAAAAACCACCCAGTCATACCAACATAACTGCATTAAAGTGGCACTTAAAGTTTTGTTCAGAAACAGTTGTCCCTGAGTCACTAGGTCATTTGCTACTTATTGAGCAGTCAAATCCCAGGTTTTAACTCAACAGATTGCTAGTGGAATTATAGCCATAAGAGCAAAATTCCAACTCCACAAGCAACTACTATGTGGACGATTTCTGACTTAAGAGTGAAGGAGATTGCATTCAAAGTCCCTAGTAGGAGTGCAGTCTAGCTAGCACTTTGGGGCAACAATTTTTACAAAGTCTCTGGGAAAGACAAAAGTCATTAAGTTCTTGAAGAAAATTGGGCTCCAATGAATCAAATCAATTTTTATAGTCACTGAACATGTAAGAGTTTTTAATAATATTTATGGGTTTCTACAATACTTGAATGAAGAACAGACTGGGATTTATAAAAATCACTCTTCACTGGGACTACATCTGTAACCATTTTACCTCTGCTTTAAAAAAAAAAAAAAACCTGAAAAACTGGTAGAAGTCTACATTATTGACAGGATTCCTTTCTCTCTTCTGCCAAAGTATTTCTCCAAACCCCACAGAGGAGGGATGCACCAATTCTCACTGATTCTCGCAGTCATACACCATACCCGATCTGGTACTGTCTCAAGTTCTATCCCTTATATGCCAAAGATTGCTTCTCACTCTCAACCTCACAATAAACAGAAAGAAGGCTAGGACTGTCTAACAGTGCACATGCTCATTTCACCAACTGCTGAAGTTTAGAAAATTTTATGATATGAAATATGCTCATAATCAAATCCAAGTGTGCTATGTCAGTGACAGAATCTGTATGTCAAATAGCAGAGCATTTACCTCTGAAATACTTTTAGACTCACATAAGAATCCAGATAAAACCCAATACTTACACTGCCATGGCCATGTGATTTTCAAGTATTAAGTTTGTTTGCATAAGGAATCAACCTGAGATTTTTCTAAACTGCACTTCTCTGGCATTCAGTATTAAAACCTTCATTCAATACAATAAAAGCCAACAACTTGACAATTATTGGAAAAAAATTATATTTTGGAAGAACTCACTACATAAGGTGACAGAATTCCAAAATCAAATTACATGAAAATATACATCGAAATTTCTTTGTACAATAGGTGAGAAAAATCTCTAGTATTGAAGAATAGAGACAAAGAAATATGAAGGATTAAGGAGGATATAAGGGCAAATAGCATTCTTAATAGCAAACCAAGAAGTAAAAAGCTTGTAGTTGTGCATGCTTTATTTATCCAAACTTTACATTAAGTCAACTGAAGGGCAAAAATAAAACCAAATCAGAATTTTGTATTATTTGGGGTAAATTTCAGTAAGTTGAATTTAGAACCAACTTTTTTTTTTTTTAAGTTCTTGGGATAATGTCTAGGTTCAAGAGCTCTCAACAGCCAGAAAATGTTATTGCTACATCCAATCCAAGAGATGGGTGCAACTAGAATACAAAAAGACAAAGCACCTAGTGATGACCACTCCTCTGAAGTCATCATTAAAAAATCAAGTAATTGCTTATTAAGTATTTCAGTATTTGAACTAAATCATCTGAGAACTTTCTGGCAGATAGAAGAGATAAAAGCAAAGGGGACTGTCAAAACAAAGAAGATACAAAAGTTTAGTAAGTGACAAGGGTTTAATGAAGCCTCAATGGTTTAAAGGAAATTAAATGGAAACTTTTAATCCTAATTGCTTTTCATCTGACATGCTTTAAGGAGTCTTTTTAAACTGATAAGAAACAATGAATAGGGAAAGAAAACCTGCTAAAATCTTTTTAGAATTTACACGATTCTTATTCTACTACAAGAAAGCATTATTTGGTACAAGGTGTATTTGTGGATGTACATGAACAGTATATATATTATCCGGATCATGTTGTGCTATGTACACGTCTTTACAATTCTTCCTGAAGGTTAAAACAGTTCATTAGAATTCAAAATGCGTAATCATCTGTAAGTTGGCACTTGTTAGGCTCTTGTCAGCATTGATAACTGGCATGTTTTATTGCAGCCCAGTTCCAGCCAGTGTTTTGCCAACTTGTTACAACAGAAGTCCAGCAATATAGGTGGGTAGAGTGCAGGAAAAACAGTGCCATGTTTCTCAATTGAAGACCTAAAAGAAAAAAACAGCATTATACAATGATTTTATAAATTACCAAATTATTAACTGACTAGAAATTTTTATTCTTTTCCTTGGCAACAAACTCTTATTTTAAGCTCACTGTTGTGATTTTTTAAAAAATATTTTTTCAGTTGTAGGTGGGCACAATACCTTTACTTTATTTATGTGGTGCTGAAGATCGAACCCAGGGCCCCACACATGTGAGATGAGTGCTCATCTGATAACTGAGCCACAGCCACAGCCCTCACTGTTGTGATTATCCATTACAGTATCCACTATCCATGTAACTATTTAATTTTGAATTTAAATTAAGTAAAATTTAAGATTCAATTCTTCTACCATACTACACATGAGCCTATTTCTAGTGTTCAACAGACACATGTGGCTAGTGGCTGTCACATGGGACAGGAATAATTTAGTCTTTCCATATTCCCAGTCTTTCACATTCTATCTAGAATCACAAGAAGGATTAGTTAAGTGTCAAGTAATTTGGAAATTTAGAAATACTTGAGGATGTACAGAGAAACGATACTGCCATACTTCTCAACTTGCTAAAGTCAATTCTTTAGGATCAGTTCAAACCTATTTCTTTATGGAGCCACCAACAAACCCCTCCATCCCAATAATAGTTCTAATTGTTTTGTAACTGCTGGTCTCATGACCTAAATTAGATTTGAGGTCAAGAACTCATCTAAATAAAAAAAAATACTTCTACCTTATCGAGTATTTAAAATGTGCCAAACAGTGTGATAAGTGCTTTAAAAACTCATCTCAGGTAATGCTCACAATCATTACATAAAGAAGTTCCCTCCACTTTACAGAGAAAAGTAAGGCAAGGTCACACAGCTAATAAATGATAGTTTCCTATTCCAAAAAAAAGTTAGGAAAAAACTGGATTTGAGTTTTAAAAGGGACACTTAATAACTGGACCTTTCTGACACTTTATTATATTTAGGTGTTTTTTGAATATAAAGGTGGGGTCAGAGATTGAAGGGAAGAGAACAGCTGTTCTCAGAAACCTCCACCTGCTGCAAAGTACAATTTGGGGCAAATTAAAACACAAAATTCCAGGGAATTCAAGTGATATAATTTCAAACTCTTGACAGAGAAGCTTTAAGAGCAATGGCAAAATTTAACTCACACCATGTATGTTCAAAATGTGTCCTCTAAAGCCCCAAGTAAGGGCTGGGGATGTGGCTCAAGCGGTAGCACGTTCGCCTGGCATGCGTGCGGCCTGGGTTCGATCCTCAGCACCACATACAAACAACAATGTTGTGTCCGCCGAGAAATGGAAAATAAATATTAGAAAATACTCTCTCTCTCAAAAAAATAAAATAAAATAAAATAAAGCCCCAAGTAAATTTCTTAAAATCACCCAAAGCCAACCATACTAAAAGCTCTGTTGGGGAAGGAAGGAAGCTGTGAGGCAATCTGTGGCCTAGCATATGCCTGTTTTCCATAATATAGAAAACCTCTCTAAGATAGATCCGAAAAGGTAGAGCTATGGCTGTATTTCTTTACAAAAAGGTTGTACCGATAAACGTAAATGACCCACATCCCAGCATAAAAATGCACAAATATGGATATATTTATTACCCTGACTAGAATTGATTTTTAACATCTGCACACATACATACACATACAATTTATTAGACAATACAAAAGCATATATTGAATGAAACTCAAAAGACAATGCTATGAAATAGGAATTATAATTTTTAAGTAATGTTACTATAATGTTTTTCCCAAAGTCTATATGATGCCCAAATTAATCCCTCGCCAATAAATCTCCCAAAGCTGATAGAGAACTGGGTATGGAGTTTGTACATTTGTATGTTTGGTAATCACTCCCCTCAGATATAAACAATGAAAAATTTCAGGGCCACAAGAGAATCATTTAAAAACTGCTCCTAAGTGAGGTTTTAAATGAAAATACCTAAAAGCGGACAGACCATTTAAAATCACTAAACACCTAAAATCAGGCAACCCAGCATTTTCTCATGTTTCGTTTTATTTTTGTGGTACTAGTGATTTGAGTCCAAAAGTGGCTCTACCACTGAGCTACATTTCCAGCCCTATTTTACTTTGACACAGGATCTCATTAAGTTGCTGAGGTCAGCCTCAAAATTTGCCAACCTCTTCTGAGCCCCCCTATTCTCTTGTTGATATTAAAGACAATAATAAAAGTAATTTCTCACTTGGAGGAAGTGTTCCAATAATCTTAATCACTCAAGTGAAAACAATCCATGAGGAAAATGGTTACCATCAAGGAAGTTTGCCCTGCTACACTTCACATAAGTGCTCCCAAAAGTTCCAATCCATCTTGCACTACTTTCCACTGTCTTTCCCCCAAACTGAATTCTTTTCCAACAGGACATTGGTGACAACACACAACTGCTTCCTGCCCGAGGTCTTGTGACCAAGCCAATCTACATATTTCTGCCTCTGTCTCTTCTTCTTGTCCCCTAAAAATGGATATTGTTCAAGATGTTGTCCTTAGATATAATACAATAGAAATAAAGTTCAACACCAAATGGAACTTTATTTCTATTCAGGAAACTTCCAATGTCACTAGCAGCCCTACTTCTAACTATCCAATAGTCAGTCATGTGTGAACTTCCCAAAGCAACACTCTACAATTCTACTCTAGGTCTTAATGTGATTTAATTTTACTTTTGTTTGTTTGTTTGTTTGTTTGAACTCAGGGTGGGTATTGAACCCAGGGGCACTCTACCACTGAGCCACATCCCCAGGCCTATTTTGTATTTTATTAGACACAGGGTCTCACTGAGTTGCTTAGTACCTTGCCATTGCTAAGGCTGGCATTGAACTCACAATCCTCCTGCCTCAGTCTCCCAAACTACTGGGATTACAAGTGTGTGCCACCACACCCGGCTTTGTTTGTTTTATAATTCCTGGTCTATCTGGCTAAACAAATATTTCTTTTTTCAGCCAGGAAATGTATCTATAGTATTCTACATCTTCTACTCCCCCAAGAGAACAGTGCCTTTGCAAATAGTAGGTGATTAAACGTAAATAAATTAATAAAATAAAGGTCCATCAACAACTAAAAATACATTTTAAAAAAAGGTAAAAATCTTGGGTTAGGGTTGTGGCTCAGTAGTAGAGCGCTCACCTAGCATGTGTGAGGCCCTAGATTCAATCCTCAGCACCACATAAAGATAAATAAAGATATTGTGCCCATATACAACTAAAAAAAATATTTAAAAAAAAGATATAAATCTTCTCTTTCAAGATATAAACCTTGGGCTGGGGATGTGGCTCAAGCGGTAGCCTGGCATGCATGCGGCCCGGGTTCGATCCTCAGCACCACATACAAACAAAGATATTGTGTCCGCTGAAAACTAAAAAATAAATATTAAAAAAAAATTCTCTCTTAAAAAAAAAGATATAAACCTTACTTTTTAATACTATGCAACCATCAGCAAAGAAGCAGATGCATATTGAGCTTGCAAAACCTTAAAAGACAACATTAAATAAAAAAGCATAGAATATATGGTATATTGACAATATACATACACATGTACAAAATATTTATGTATGTCCAAGGAGGATTAAATTACTGAAAGATTCAACTATTATTAGTGGTTACTTCTGGGAGTAGAATTAGGAGGCTGAGGTGGGAAAGAGATAGTTTGCTTACTTTGTCCCTGCAACTAGGGACACAGAGTGAGAAGCAAATGAGGAGGGCAACAAAGAGGCAGGCAAATCAGATTAAAAATCAGATAAAGGTAGCAATCAGATTTAGAAGGAACTAAGATAGAACCTTGATATTCACCAGTGGATAAGAGATGTTTCTAGGAGGGAATATCTGTAGTGCCAAATGTTACAGAATCAAAACTTAATTAAACCTTCAGATGTAACCAAAAAACCAGTATTTAATGTCTTTAGGAGTTTAGTTTTCTGTGGACAGGTGAGAAGAGCCAAACATTAACATGACACCAGAGGGACTGATAGTGAAGAATAAATGGAGTTAGCTCAGTAGCACACACCTGTAATTCCAGCAACCTGGGAAGATAAAGCAAGAGGATATAGCAAGTTCAAAGCCAACCTGGGCAACCTAGCAAAAGTGTGTCTCAAAATAAAAATTAAAAAAGGCTGGAGGTATAGCTCAGTGGTACCATGGCCCTGAGACCTAAATAAATAAGTAAAAGGAAGAGGAGGAGGGAGCTTGACATGTGTAAGGTCCTGGGTTCAATCCCTAGCACCACAAAAAAAATAACATATATAAAATAAAAATGAAGGGGAAAAACTAAAAGGGTAAAGTCCCCTTTGTTTCATGTTTCCTCTCTTCCTCCCTTAAGGTAAATACTACTGCAGACTTCATACATTTTATGTGCTTCTTCAAATCACTGTTGTTTTTCAAACTTTTCTTCTACCATCTACCTAAAAAATAACATATTGAGTTTTAGACATTATTAAGTCATGGATTTTGGTATGAAATGTTTAATCCAGTTTTCAAATGATCTCACACATTGGCTCAAACAAAACTAGTGATTAGGTTATATGATTACTGAGGCTTTTCTTTCCCGAACTGTGGCCCCTCTTCATCTATGGAGAGATGGCCTTTATTTGTCAGCTCTGATAAATAAACTCTTGTGTGTTAAAAAATAAATAAATAAAATAAAGGGCCGAAAGGTAGTCTGCAGTGCTTGAAAAGAGGTTTTGGTTCTCAAATATCTTCAGTAAAATTAATGTGTTAATTTAATTCAAGATTGTTCTACCAAGAACTGCTGCTCCCATACCCTTGTGCAACCGTGCAAGGCCCTGGGAAGAGAGTTGCTTAGTGCCTGTGAATATTTATGAAGGAACTGCAACATTTAAGAAGAAGTGTGCTTTCTTATCATTGTGTCGACAGTGATGACTTATTAAGTCAAGATTTCCAATTATTGCTTTCTTACTATGTAACTATAAAGTCTTATACTATTTCCTGATTAACCTGTTTTATGCACTGAGGCATATAGCTTATATTATTTTTGGGGAGGGGGCACATACCTTTATTTTATTTGTTTTTATTTTCATGTGGTGCTGAGGATCAACCCAGTACCTTGCACGTGCTAGGCAAGCACTCTACTGCTAAGCCACAACCTCAGCCCTAACTTTTTTTATTATTATTAATTTTTAAGTCTTCTTGGGCTGGGGATGTGGCTCAAGCGGTAGCGCGCTCACCTGGCATGCGTGCGGCCCGGGTTCGATCCTCAGCACCACATACCAACAACAAAGATGTTGTGTCCGCCGAGAACTAAAAAATAAATATTAAAAATTCTCTTTCCTCTCTCACTCTCTCTCCTCTCTCACTCTCTCTAAAAA